CCATAAGGTTAATTGGTACAAAAGTTTAATTAACAGTGATTTGCTTACTACCCCTGGTAACACACATTAAAAGCACTCTTTCTAAATAATGGTTAATATTCAGCCTTGATCGTCGTGGTATAGGATTATTTTCCCTTAGGTGAAAACACCAATCAATTCGTTTATCAAACGAATCATAAAGTTCTTCGCTATTGTACTGAAACAGTCTCAATTTGTTTCTTGAAAATGTCAACCATTCTCATTGAAGGAGAAACAGTCCTAGGCTATGGTTTTCAAGCTTTATTCAGATGATATCGGCCGTGAAAACGTAACTCTTTTTATATAAGCACCCTACTCGAGTTTGTATTTCATTGCAACTCTACAATCCGAAGTTACGCCTTTGTAAATCGAAATCGAACCTGTTAAATCTTTAACATCTCAAAATACTCTTCGAGAGAATTGTATTCATAATAAAGACCATGATAGATATCTTTCAGCGACTCTGCAAATACGGATAGGTAATAATTAATTTTTAAAAGTCTGTCCAAAGAAAAGCTTAGTAAGTTATTAGAAAAATTAACTAACATTTTACTACTTGAATTTATTAATTTGAATTCATACGCTTAGTATTTTGAGAAAAATATTTGGAAAGTCATAAGGGGTCTAGGAACCGCGTTTCTTCACAAAAAGTTATGTCAAAATTAAAAAAAAATTAAGGCGATAATCCTATAATTTTCATTGCCGCGCTTCATGGTGACAACTCCCTTAAGTTAATGTTTTATTTAATTTGAGAAGTGGTGGCTCTATTTTAACTGTACAAAATCACATTAAGATTTTTTTGCACATAGACATGGACGCCGACGGAAGGGACGATTGAAACATGATTGATTATTATTGATCAAAGCTACTGATGGGAAATGATACAAACTGCGTATGTTTAACGTTCAATTTGACGACATACGGATGATCGGATGATCGATGCAAGTAAATAACGATTCCGATAAATAACCCGTAATTACGACATTGATATTTCTCGACCAATGATATCGTGAAACGGGATAAAAAACGCATCCGAATGTTTGGAATTCTATCCTGAAATACGTCTTATATTCGCCTCACGAGCTAATGACAGAAAAACAGATGCGGGACGGTATTTTCGAAGATTCTGTGAGTTTAAAAGCCCATTGTTTCAGTTTTTATTATTGGATGGCTAGGTTCTTTATTCTTTTTTATTTTTTACCAAACGACAGCAACGTCCATTCGAGTTTCTTACGACGACTGTAGGAATTGCACCAAACCATCCAATTTCCAGGCCATTGGTTATTCAATTTATTAATTGTAAATTGAAGATGAAGCACAAATACTTGTGTCCGATAAATAATTAAACCAACCCATGTCAGTTATTTTTAAAAAATAAAATAATTAGCACTAATTTATTTATTCTTAAAATAAAAACAAATAACTTACTATTTTATCTCATTAATCACTTTCGTCTTCGTTTTATTTCTCTTTTTATAAATATCGTATTGTAGCAATATACTATTGTATCTCAAAACTAACATACAAAGAACTTGCTTTCTAGTCTATAGAATTCCTTCCCTAATTTAAGCCAAAATTGAGAAATTAATTCAAAAAATCGTAAAGCAAAATTTTAGCATTTTTTTCAAAAACGAGATGTAATGTATTAATTTTAAAGATACAAGGAAATTATCAGAACGTAAAAACCATTACTAAAAGTAAAAGTAATTTTTTTCTATCAATAGGTAAACTTTGTTAGTTAACAACAATGAAATTAATAATAAGGTAAGTAACACCTTTATTAAATAATTGGGCTACAGTTGACCTTTTGTCAATGGCATATATATGTAATAACGAAATATGACAAGCGTTAAATGAAGAGCCAAAAAGACCAAATATTTAACACCTTCACGGAGAAAACTATATCTTTATGACAACGCAAACATTTTGAATTTTCGATTGTAAATGAGTGAATTTGCCGTAGAAATAATAGAATTTATTAGGTAACTTGTAATAATCTCAATTTTGACATGCTTTTTTAAAAAAAACAAAATAATTCGAAGTGGTCTGTATTCTGTCGAAACTGCCAGACGCGGATCGCGATTTCGANAAGTATAAAAAATTTTGAAACAAAAGATGTAGCTGCTATTTGAATTGCTAATAGTTATTTGTCTATTGTTTTGTATTTATAATACGAAAAAATTATGTTTGAATTAAAAAAGGAAAAGAATCTGCAATTAGTTTTAGCCCCCCGGTATACAGTTCCACGGCGAATTAAATATTAACCAAGAAGGTTAGGCAGCTGATTTTCTTAGAAAACAAAAACTGTTTACTACTGTCAACGAAAAATCACAAGTCAAGAATTCCGTAATTTTAACAAAATTAACAGTGTCTTTGATATGGACCCTGAAGACGATGACAGCCAGATGGATGACGATTATATTAAAACCCTTTTCAATAAATGTAATAGCTCAGTAGATGCAACCGATGATAATCAGAAGAAGCAGAACGAGAAGGAGACCAATGAAGGTAATAATAAAGACAAAAAAGATGAAAGCGACGAGGAAGATGTTTCTGAGAAGACGCACAGAACTCCATTTCTAAATTTTCTAAAAGAATATCGTGAAAAAAATCCAGAATTAACAGCGAAAGAAGCTTTAAAAAAAGCCACGGAAGAATGGCGGAAATTTTCTGAAGAACAAAAGATGAAATATAAGAAAAAAGCGAATAAAGTCGCTACGAGAAGGAAAAGGAAAAGAAGAAGATATAGCTCAACATCAACTGAAGACGATTCATCAACGACGAATTCCACCATCTCTTCAGATGGGGAATCGAGACGCAGACGTAAAAGATGTAATCACAGATCATGTCATCGAGTTGTGGTAGCTAGAAGTAGGAAAAGAAAAGGTAGAAAACGCAGGAGGAAATCGGGAAGAAGCAGGGGTAAAAGGTACTAATATGCGTAACTGAAAGTCGGACTGCTTAATTGAAGGAATACTGCAGTATAATCAATTATGCATAGATTACACTTATAATAGTTCTGCTACAAACAAATGTGCTGTCAAAATTTATGTCTCGGGTTAGGGTGGAATGATCTTTGTAATAAAAAATGCTAAATTTTTTGATACATTGTGTTGTACTTGTTTTAGTCGAAGCGTATTGGATTATAAATACACTATATATGATTAATAGGCAATTTAGTCCCTTTTAAAGTCAAAATAAGAAAATTTTTTTTGCAGATAAATATTAGTCTACCCTCTATGTACTAATTAGACGTTTTAAAACAACTTACCTATTATTTTAAAATGATCCATTGTCATTTAATGATTATTTTCTTCTTTTTGTGTTTGAATTCGTTCAACATATATTTATCAACCATTATCTGGAAAGAAGTAACGAAATTTTATTGCAAGTTGTAGGCGTGACAAAAAATATCGTTGATTTTATTTCCTTGTTACATTATTATGAGAAAATAGATAAAACTGGCCAAAAAGTAACACAAATATGACTCGTTCGTGGCTCAGGGAGGAGAAGCAATTGCACCCATTATCCCCCCTTCCTAGATCTGCGCCTCTATGGCGTATTATATATGATCTTAATCAGAGACTGAACACTAACATCCTTTTGCGACATTCTCTTATTAAGACTGATTTGAATCTGATGTCGATACTCTATCTGAACCCTTTTAGGGCATATCTTATAAGGACTGACATGGCCCAATTGAGCTTAACGTACTGGAACTCTAACGGTATGTTTTATTTCGCCTTATTGAACCCTAAACATGATACCCTACTTAGACTTATTTGAGTGTGATATCAATGCCCCTTACATGAACCTTTTTAGCACTTGAGGTGGATCTCTTATTTTTATCCAGGTCAAGATTTGGTCAAAATGTTTTAAAATGACTTGATCAGAGGCAAATGATATAACCATACCTTATCCACACAGGGTAGCCTTAACCAGACCGTATCTAACAGCCTTACTATGCCCAAATGTTCTGAGGTACAAACATTTCTGATCTGGGAATAATCAAAATCGGGAAGGGAGGAACAAATTTACAGTCGGGAAACAAAATTTCCTCGTGATTACGTAACCTAAAGTTTCTTCAGATTAGTCTTGCTCCAAAATTTCATACAATCCTTGTAGGACAAAACCTAAATGAACCCAGATCGCAGAGTTTTAGATGTATTAGGCGCAACGCATCGATATTATTTAACCATCAAATATTTATCCTTTATGTGTTTATTTGCATTTACTTGTGAACTAGTAAGAGGCCTTCGATAGTTAAATCTGCCCCTAGACGATTTCATTTTTCATGAGATAAAGAAATTCCATATCAACGAACCAAGCAGTATTTTCAATACTAAAAGGAGATAGAATGACAAGACACTTGGAGCTATTTAAGATATGTCAGAAACAGGAAGTAGAAATAGGAGTAATGGGGAGTATAGGAAGACGTAGTAGATTAGATTACAGCTCGCAATTTTAGTAAAAGATGTGGGATAATGTTCTAGTTTTAGGGAAGTGATAATGCGAAAATTGGCTTAAGATAGGAAGGAATGGAGATGTATGTCCAACCAGTCTTCGGATTGACGACCTTATGATGATGATGAAAAGATAAATAATAAATTTTACTGTCACTGGTAAGCTTCTTCTAAAATATTTCTTAAGTGGGCGCAAATCAAGATAAAATAAATATGATACATAAAACGTTTGCAAATAATACAAAATGGTCAAATTTTTAATAGATGCCCTGAAATTTATGTAATGTATTTATTTACTATTTGTAAATAATTATAATTATTAGTTTCGCAAATTGCAACTGTAGTAAAACCAAAAACCAATAGCTTCCTTTTTTTCTTTAAGGAAAACATGGAAAGTACCCACAAGGGTTTTAAAATAGTATATTTGTATATTGGCAATCAACACATTATCTATAAATAATAGTTGCATAAGGTTTAAAAAAGAAGTTAATCGATGTTTTACAATTGATTTATTGATATTTTACACCATAATAATTATAATATTCGCATTACAATTATAATTAACATCACAGGAAATTTTGTTAATAACTTCATTGTTTTATGGATGAATAATCCTACGCATATTTTTAAACACTACTGCCCTGTTCTGAAATATCTGCGACATTTTTTGTGGAAGGTCCTTCCCCTTCTTCGTCATCCCGAGCAGATTTTTCGCCATCTTCAATTTTTTCAGGATGCTCCTTGAGATAATCTACGTAGTCCTGTGTTTGCTTAGCGTAGACATTTCGTAAATGTTGGTGCAGCATTCGATTTTCGTGTTCGAGCGCCATAGCACGGGATTTCCAGTAAGCTAGTTGATGCTGATTCTGCCATGCTGCGACCTCTGGTATCGGGGGAACCAATTGAGCGTTCAAATTTAAGTTTGTGTCTACACCGTTCATTTCCGTGCAGGATGCTGTTTCACACAAATTGGTTTTCCTAGCTAACCTAAACTTTTTATGTTTAAAAATTCTTAATCTATTTCTTCGCCGCTTTTCACGTTTTGCTCGTAATTTTTTGAATTTACGCACTGCACTATACGATAACTTCTTCTGTAATTGTGTGTAACAACTCACTGACGCGGTAACATCAGAAACATCAACTACATTTTCGGCCATATTAGAAACATTTGGAAGATGTTGCCAACATTCACTTTATCCAAAAATTTGAACTGAAGAACTAATAACTAATATTAGTTTATGAATCTTTATTATTAGTTAATCCAAGTTTTTGTGAACAATGTTGATTAACAATGTAGCCAATTGAAGGCATTTTAACTATTTATCTTTCTGGATAATACTTAATATTAAATAAAAAAAAAATAATACAGAAAAACGTTTATTTTTCATAAAATCATTATCGACAAGATGCCATTATAGCTCCAACACTTTCAAAATCGATCTTCTCATTAATATTCTTGGTTTTGATGTTTTCATCTTGATTAGCTATGAAAACCAAATTTCCATCTTCATGCCAACCATATTTTCTAACCCAATGTTTTAATGTAATATCATCTACATCTCCCAAAAGTTCAGACAAGTGACTACGTTCAATTCTTTGATACGTTATTCCCACTACATGGCATACAAACTTCCTTATAGAGTCAAAAAATCCAGTGATTTTTTGGATCAACTCTGGTTTTGTACTAACAATTGTCCAAAATAGTTGAAAATCACACTGCTCCAGAATATCGCCCAAATACATGATTTGAGTGATTGATTCTAAGGCAAGCTAAAAAATGAAAATGTATAAACATTCATTATGAACATTTAAAAAAACTATAATATACCTGCTTTTCATTAAGAAGACATTTACATAAAATAAAGTCAGTATGTGGGAAATTTGTTAGTGCTTTCAGTAAAATCTGACATGTGATATTTACATTGAAACTCTGCGGATTAAATTGATAAAGTTTTAACACAGCCAAATTGGCTTCTAAATCATAAGCATTTTCACGTGATTGAATTTCCACATATTTTTCAAGGGTTGGAAGATTGTCTGGATTATATCTGAAAGAAAAATTAGTCAAAATACAAAATTAAATGCAACTGAAATAAACTTACCTTTCGATTCCTTTTAACATCGAAGACACTGTTTGCTTCATAGCTTCTGCCATTGTTAATATTTAGCTATTTTCCACTTAATTACTAAATATTAACTACTAGCGGAAAATTGGTGATGTTTTGGTAACTTTGGTGATTCCAAAGTCAATCCAAAAATAATCCAAACAGAAGAACTGTTACCAATAGCAGTTACCTTTTCACCAATAACTGAATCCTCTGATCAATAACCACAGAAGAAATAGCTCACAACACATCCACTATATACATTTGTACACTAATTAATTGCATAATTTAACGGCTATTAATGTAAAGTAATAAGGATATCGATGTTTGATATTAGTAGTAAATCTATTAAATAAATAATTTTGAAAATTGTGTTTACAAGTAACAACTAGCAGATGGCGACTTAGTAGTATCTATACTTCTCTGTGGATTGGAAAACTGTGGTTGGTTGTCATCCATTGAATTACTTGTCAATAGTTTGTTTATATTTGAGAAACAGTTTCTCAAAAATATCAACCATCATCACAGCGCACATTAAATAGATTTGAAAAAAGAAAATGGCAAGTCTTCCAGGTAGTATAGCATTTGATGAATATGGTAGACCTTTTATAATTATTCGAGACCAAGAAAGACAAAAGCGGCTTACAGGAATTGATGCATTAAAGGTAGGTTATGCTGAAAATATCAAGACCAACTGCTTTATTTTTCGATGCTAAATTTTTAAATATGTAACTGCTGCGCTCCATATTATACTCAAAAATTTTAAGAATAAAAAATATTTTCAGTCTCACATTATGGCTGCTCAACAAATAGCAAATACAATTCGAACTTCTCTTGGCCCCAAAGGTCTTGATAAGATGCTGGTATCACCTGATGGTAAGTTTACTGCTAATAATAGCAATATTTATGTATTTACCACGTAAATATGTACTTGAATTTTAGGTGAGGTGACTGTCACAAATGATGGAGCAACTATTTTGAAGCAAATGGATGTTGAACATCAAATTGGGAAGCTGTTGGTTCAGTTATCTCAGTCTCAAGATGATGAAATTGGTAAGTAATAAGGAATTATAATGACATTCTTGGGAGCATAATTGTTTTAAATGTCAATTGCAGGGGATGGAACTACGGGGGTTGTTGTACTTGCTGGAGCATTGCTAGAACAAGCAAGTGCTTTATTGGATCAAGGTATACATCCAATTAGAATTGCAGATGGGTATGAATTGGCATGTCAAAAAGCTGTAGAAAGACTGGATAAAATTGCAGAGATGTTTCCAGTATCTGCAGAAGATCCAGAGCCATTGATAAAAGTTGCAATGACCACGCTCGGCTCTAAAATCATTAATAAATGCCACAGGCAAATGGCAGAAATTGCTGTGAAAGCTGTACTTTCTGTAGCCAATTTTGAAACTAGAGATGTTAATTTTGAACTTATTAAAGTGGAAGGAAAGGTAAGTTATATAGTTTTGTAGTACATATATCTAATTCTGTATTTGGCAGTTCATTATGTGCATTTTTTTACTGAATCAAATTTTCACTAGGTTGGTGGTCGTCTGGAGGACACTATGCTAGTTAAAGGTGTTGTGATAGACAAAACTATGTCACACCCTCAAATGCCTAAGGAACTTAGGAATGTTAAATTGGCTATCCTTACTTGTCCATTTGAACCACCAAAGCCAAAAACCAAGCATAAGTTAGATGTCACCAGTGTTGAAGACTACAAAGATCTCAGGAAATATGAACAAGAAAAGTTTATTGAAATGGTACATATTTACTATGTTTAAATTTTTTTTTTTATAATATCAATCGATTGTTTTAGGTTGATTTAGTGAAGAAAGCTGGTGCAACTTTAGCTATTTGTCAGTGGGGCTTTGATGATGAAGCAAATCACTTGCTTTTACAAAAACAATTACCAGCTGTAAGATGGGTAAGTTATATTTTAAATTGTACAATGCATTTTTAAAAAGAAATCACATGAAAATTTTAATTATTTTACTGTGTAGTGTTATTTTGTTTATATTTCTATTTTCATGAAATCCTTCTTTTCCTATCTGCATTTATACATTTTATGGTACTTGCAGTATCATATAGAAGGAATAATAAATAGATTTTATTCTAAAAGTTGGGGCAAAAACATTTGCCAGACTGTTAGATTAAGAACCTACATGCTTTTTATTTTTACACAAGTGTGATAAAAATACAGATGTGCTGTAGGTTTTGTAATTTACCGTTTTCCGTCTTAATTTTATAAGGTTGGGGGTCCAGAAATAGAACTGATTGCAATAGCTACGGGTGGTCGTATAGTTCCCAGATTTGAAGAGCTGAGTCCTGACAAACTGGGAACAGCAGGACTTGTTAGAGAAATTTCGTTTGGAACAACAAAAGATCGTATGCTTGTAATTGAAGAGTGCTCGAATTCACGAGCAGTGACTATTCTTGTCAGAGGAGGAAATGCCATGATAGTTGAAGAGGCCAAGAGAAGTCTCCACGATGCCCTTTGTATTGTACGAAGTTTAGTACAAGTAAGTTAATTTGCATTGTCATATTTTTATCTTGTATACAATAAAATGATGAGAATTTGCTCGAAAATTAATTTTTACTATCTTGTAGTTGTGTAAAGCTAAATTTAATTTATCTTAACTTTTTTATATAGGAACCACGAGTGGTTTATGGCGGTGGAGCGGCTGAAATAGCTTGTAGTTTGGCTGTAGCCCAGCATGCCCACGAATTAGCTTCTCTTGAACAATATGCGTTTAGGGCTTTTGCTGAAGCTCTCGAAAGTACTCCCTTAGCCCTAGCAGAAAATAGCGGATTATCAGCAATTCACGCACTTGCCGAAATAAAGGTAAGCTATTTTAGTCCCAAAAACAATAATTATATTGTGTAGAAAAGACGTTTTTTATGTTGTTTTTCTGATTTAAAAAAATATGTGTTTATAGGCAAAACAGTCGGCAAGTGGAGACTCAGCTTTGGGTATCGATTGTATGCAAACTGGCAATCCGAATATGCGTGAGCAGCACGTCATCGAGTCCTTAAGGTCGAAGAGGCAACAATTAATTTTGGCTACGCAACTTGTGAAAATGATTTTAAAAATAGATGATGTACGTTCACCTGCTGATGGACGCAACATGTAATGCTTTTTTGTTTAATTACAGCGAGAAAAGTTAATTAATCTCTATCACATCATTGTATTCTGAATTTTTCATGTAGTGATAATTTAACACCTGTTTTTTTTAATGTTCTCATATGTCTGTATTTATTAATAAATACAAAAACAACTATTCACAGTGCATTTATTTTAAAAAATACTTTATACTAAATAAAATAATGTCTTCATAAAAGTGCTTTTATAATATGAAAGGTAAGTAATTGCACATTAATAAACTATTCTTTTTTTATGTGAAATATATTTATAAATAAATGTTTAAACCTTCACTGACTGACGGACAGCGCACAGCCTAAACCAAAACAAATTTGAAATTTAAAGTAAATATTCCTTGAGTACAGTAGAGATTACAACTAAGGAAAGCTATTTTGAAATTCCTTCCCATATAAGGGTAAAAAGGGATGTTAAGGTAGTTGACTGACAGGGAATATTCGTTGAATACTTGAGGGGTGCATTAGGGAGGGATTTTTTGAAATTTCATCTCTAAGGACGTTAAAAGGAGTGTTAAAGTAACTGACTGACAGACAAGGTAGAGTATAATTTGGTGGATTTAGGAATAAAGATTTGAAGGATTCCCTTTTGAGTCTTTAGGGACATACTAAGGACATTTGTGAAATTTCTTCCCCTAAAGGCGTTAATAGGGTAGTTAAACTAGCTAACTGACAGGCAACGGGGACTTAGATATTTGAAATTTGGAGGGAATATACTGGAGGGGTGCACTAGGGAGGGTATTTTCGAAATTCCGTTTAAAGGGATGAAAAGGAGTATAACAACAATGCACAACCCAAATCGACTACAGATCTGAAATTAGGAATGAATAATCCTTGAGTCTTTAGGGGCGCATAAAGAAAGGATTTCTTTGAAATAGCTTTTCTAAAGGGGTTAAATGAAGTGTTAATGTTATTGACAAGCAGGCAACGTACAGCCCAAATCGGCTGACCTAGATATTTGAAATTTAGTGGGAATATTTCTTGAATACTCCAATATTACATTAAGAAGGGATTGTTTGAAATTCCATCCCTAAAGTGGTGAAAGCAACTGACTGACAAACAACACACAATCTGAATCGGCGGACTTAGAGACCTTTAAAATTTAGGGAGATATTTCTTGAATATGACTAACAAACAACGCACGGGCTATATATTCGAAGTTACAAGGGAATATTGCTTGAATCTTTAGGAGTACATAAAGAAAGGGTTTTTTGAATGTCTTTTCATAAGGGGGGTAAAGAAGGTGTTAAAGTAACTGAATGACGTAGAGTCTCAATCGGTGGACCTGAAGATTGAAATTTGGAGAGAATATTCACGAGTCTTTAGCGGTACAATAAGGAAGACCTTTATGAAATTCCTCCCCTAAAGGCGGTAAAAGAGATGTTAAAATAACTGACTCGACAGGTCAGGCCGGTAGAGCTACAGATTTGATATTTGGAGGGAATATTCCTTGAAGAGTGCAATAAGGATCGATTTTTTGAAATTCTATCCCTAAAGGGGCGTCAATGTAACTGACTTACAACGCACAGCGTAAATCGGTAAACATACAGATTTAAAATTAGGAAGGTATATTCCTTCAGTCTTTAGGGGCATAATAAGTAGGGATTCATTCCTTAAGGGGGTTAAATGAGATGATAAAGCAACTCACTGGCAGGCAATGTACATTCTAAATCGGCTGGCCTAGAGAATTGAAATTTGGAGGGAATCTTCCTTGAGCCTTGATGAGTCCTCTAAAAAGGAATTTTTTGAAATTCCATCCCGAAAGTGGCGAAAACGGGTGTTAATGCAACTGACTGACAAACAATGCACAGCCTAAATCGGTAGTCCTAGAGATTTGAAATTTGGAACAAATTCTCTTCGAGTATTCTGCATTCATGAGAAGTTTTTAATATATCACATCTCACATGAATAAGTTCGTAACATGCATATATTTCATATTTATTTTCATTAGGCACCAACAGATTTTGTGAGGTATAAATAGCGAAATTTTATGCAGCTGCAAAGGTAAAATGTAAAATTCACGAAGTAATAAATGATTGGAATTGTGCGCTAATTTCAATGACATAATACTTTCAATTTAACGCAATAATTATCCGAAACGTTAACGCTGTTTAATGTGTTTTGTATATATCAGTCGTGCATTTACCATTGCTAGAAGATATGTAAATGGATATTTATAAATGATTTGAATATGGGAACGTTGTTATAATCAATCAGAGAAACAACAATTATCAGCAATTACTGAGATACTTATCTTAAGGATTGATAAACATTGATGAATGCTTGGCCGCTTTGATGTCTAATCCTAAGACTACCATTATTCACAACAAATTGTTACCTATCTAATAGAAACGTATAATTATAAACGCGAGTAGTTCTTTTAATGTTACATTTTACTGTCGATTTTGAAATAATTAATAACACGCCCGACAATGTTCCCTTTCCTAACGATAGCAAGAAAATGTTACATTTTATACAGATGTGTTGTTTAACTTTTAAGTATAGTGTAAAATGGGGCATTATAAATTAATAACAATATATTCGTAACAAAATTAAAAAAAATAATTTTCTTCATCATATATAAAACAAACGTTAAATGGAACTTAGTTTCTAAAACAATATTTTTTAAAGTAAGATTTACTTTGATTTATAAAGACAATCTTTTGGATTAATTAAGTCTTTTCTTTTAAGTCTTTAGAGTCAAAATGATTGCCCTACTTTAAAATCTCATTTCAAGCTTCATCACTTATTTTTAATATTTCAATTTACCTTAATCGTTATTATTCATTAGTATAAGTTCGATTTTCCTGCAATCTCATTTTTAGTTTGATATGATCTTTGTATGTAATTCTCTTGGGGAATTATATTTAAGTTATCTCAATTTGGGATTAGATTAAAGGTTTAAATACGATTTATTTGCAGTGCATTTTTACCTAAGTCGCGGTTATTTGTTTTATGTATCTAACCGATATTTACATGATAATAGTTCCTAATTATATTCAGTGTAATTAAACAAAAAAGGTCTTATTATTTCAATTTTCTTTAAAGTAAATGCTTGTTAATATATGTATAATACTACATTCATGTATGTATAATATTCTGCATTTATAATTTTTATTCATAGTTAGCAAACAGCACTTGTTAATCGTAAAGAACGTGGAAAATCCGCGATTTTCACGGAAAATTAGCAGGTGTCCAGCATTATGTTTGCGTGTTCAGTAAACAGTAAAAACATACCTCTCGACTATTTACCATTACTCAAGCTGTTGACAGGATAAAGACCATTACAGATAACATAATAATAACTATTTATTCACTCATCCTTTAGGCATTGCTTTTGTAATAATATGTACTTAACGTCTAATAACGTTGTGAACGGAAATCTCAATACAAATTTCCCATGTGTAAACCGACATATTTCTCCTAGTTCCTTTAATTTAGAAAAAACCGACGTGCCCATATTTTAATACCATTTAGACAAATAAGATAAAAAGAGGAACAAAATATATTCTCACATAGTCCCAATGAAATACTTTGTGTTGAATGGAATAGTACCTACCTATTTATGTATCATTACAAATAAAATTGTGATTTCTTTATTTTAGCAAAGTAAAGAAAATACCTGTCAAAAAGAAAACAATTGTTTTGAAGATGATCTAACGCATACAGGATGCAACAAATAATCGTAAAATAATAGGTAAAGGACCTTAACAACTACTCAAAATATCTCCATTTATATGTATATAGCGATTTTTAGAAGTATTCATTTGTCGACACATTCTTTTAATTTTCTGATTCCATATCAAGCGGGTTTTATGATGTTACGATTTTAAAATATTATATATAAAAGAAATTATGAGTACTGACAGGACAGGGCAAAGTAGTATTACGTAGTTAATATCAGCAATTTTTTATGCTGAAGTGTACGATGTGTAACATACCTATTTACAAACAATTTCTTTAAATTTTAGTCATTGATTACTATACATCTATTAAAAAACCATAATGGCCGACATCAGCAACAATGCGACAACAATTGAAAAAGAATGATGGCCGACTACTGCAACAATTAGAATAGAATGATGGCCGACACTACGTCATACTGGAGCAATAAAAATGGCCGGGGGCAGGGGAAAGAACTAGTATTAACAATAAATTTTATTCTTGTTTAAAAACCAGTAGACTGTTTCTACATTCAGAATATATTATATAGCATACGAAACTCCAAAATATTATCTCATTAACGCAGACACATAAGAAAAAAATTATTATTCAATTGGCAAAAAACTAACGAAATAACAGTTAGCTCTTCATTAAAACTAAGCACGTAAAGTCAAAGGACTCAGTGCTGTCTAAAATAATGTCCCTGTTTACCTTGCCGACAATTTTAAGCATTTCTTAAACAAAATTTATATTCTGAACAACATAATTTAACAAGTGCGATAACGCAGACATTCATTTTGCAACTTTTAAAACAAACTGTTTTATAAAACAGACAAAACTAACGTTATCCATTTAGTCTAATTATAAGTATGCTGTCTGCTGGAGCGGTAGAGATATAAAACAAAGGATAGCGTAGGGTCGAGCCGCCTTCAACAAAAAAGTTACCTCTATGCTCGCGAACGGTTAATTGATAAAATCGAAAAGAATGTTAAAGGTGTATGTCTGGAGCAAGGCGCTATACGGGTGCGAAACATGGACGGTTGGCTAGGGCGAAAAGCGATCGAAAAGTGGTGTTTCAGGCGAATGATGAGGGCACCATGGATAGGGAAGGTTGAAAATGGGGAGGTATTAGAAAGAATAGAACAGAGATCACTATGGAAGTCAAAAAGAAATAGGCGAGATAGGTCGGTATACTTCTCAGGCATGAAGGGCTAATTAGAAACATATTAGAAGCAGAAACAGGAGTTTAAGAGGAGTGGAAGTAGACTTAGATTAGATAATTAGATTACTGTTCATAAATGGTTTAGGATGTGAGATGTTCTCGTTTTAGGGAAATACGAAGATTTGATCAGGATTGGGAAGAGTGAAGGTACGTGTCCAATCGTAAGTGTTAGGGCTGACGACCTTATAACGGATGAAATGTTTGCTAACGGCTCGAAGTTTTAAAGGAAATTAAGGTTTTTTAAACAAAAACTACTAATTGATTGATTTATTCTGCTAATTTAAATAAGGAACAACAAAGCAGCTTGTGTTGCATTTTCCAACTTTAGGGGCATGTTGTTAGAATGTTGGGAACCTGTGTAAACAAAAGGTATACTGGGATTTTTGTTACTGTATTCCTTTGTTTCGTGTAAACCACTACAATCTTGCGGTGTATAAAGTGAGCAACAAGCGACAACTCTAATCTAACAATAATCTATTTTTTCCTAATGCAAATGAAGATCCATGGATCAATGGAGTGTAAAGATATTCACGGTAACAATCCTATCTATTTATCATTGGTTTAAAACTGTACATTGGTCGTTCCATACATCATAGTCGTCTTTGTACCTAAATGCAAAACAGTCCCGTTCCGTTTCGAGGTACTTAGTTAGTTAAAATCTTCACGCCCGAAGGAGACGTTTTGTTATTAACTATTCTCGTGATCTTCATTGCTCTTATCCTTTTGTTTATCAGCTAGTCAGATTCCTTGTTTATTACGCGCAAAATCAAATAAAAATAAAGGCGCAGCGAACCAACAACGAACCTCGATCGTACCGTACCGTACCGTCCCGACGCTTGACGCAAAAATAACGGGCAAACGGAATTTGTATGCAATCAACAAGATCAATATTTGAAAATACGGCAAGCTGTTTGTTTATTGGTTAATGCCACGCGATAAGAGACAGTATTATATCAACTGATGTCGTTGATTCATAACAAAACCATGCTATTGCAATACTTTCTAAAAAACATTCGGGGATAAAAGCGTAAAATCTTCAAAAAGTCGTCGAATTAAAATGTAGGTGTCATGCACTACCTATTGGTAGGGCTCAACTGATCACTAAATATAAAATTATGTTCTACATATCGATGATTCTAGCATAAGAAGATTTGTAGGTAAAGGAAATTTGTATGAGATAGGGGATGATCGGATATCCCGGATGTTGTCGGTTACTTAGAATATTTAGTTAAAAATCGCTAATCTTTTGGCGAATTAGAAGTGTTTACATGACAATATTCGGTCATATATGGTTATCAAAATAGGTTCGCAGAGATCATGCAGTTAATGAGGAACATGTCCAATGCAGCCCTGTAGTGGTGCCAAGAATCAGAACAGTGGGTCCTTTTAGTTGACTATCAACTTTGTTTGCTCAAAAAAAAAAAGAGAGGGTAGGTGATTTCTCTTTAAGTTTTGTTCTTTTCTGTTAAGAAATATATCTCCGATGATCTTGCTGACTCTGCTTTTATTATCTTAATGGTTAGGAGGTAATATGGAGCAACGACAATAGACAAATTATAAGTGCTTTGCACCATCGACAATGGCACCATCTGTCCCAAATTGGACGGGTTTTACTAGTACCATATTATAATGGGCTAATTAATTTCACTACAATATTGATCTATTAAAAGTAGACCGGCTATAGGTAATGGTGGACATAAAGTTCGAACCTTGCCATTGTTCGATAATAACTTGACCGCAGACTTAGAAATTGTCAATTTCCATCAACTCCTACAATTAATTACAAATGGACAGCGTGATATCTAGATCCAGGTCATGCGCTGGTGCGTTTCATTTTAAAAACATCAATAGCAGAACGGTCTAGACAATTTTCTCGTACATAAAATCTATCTATGTATAGAGAACAGTGTTCACACCCGCACAGTGTTTATATTAACGTGCAGGGGGCCAAAGTGAAGGGCCGTATCGCATAGATCATGTCATACACCCAACCTTGCTGTTCGCTTTTGTAATTTCTCCCTATAAAACACAATGTCACACATACGACAACAAACACACAAATCTGTATCACCTTAAAAGACTGATGAATGTGACAGATCTGTATCTGTCTATTTTTTGTCTATTTGTCAACGCCCGCGACTAGGCCACATGCCATTACGTAAATACTTCTACGTATGTACCAATTATGTGAATGTGTAAATTTGAATTTTAGTCGCAAGGCGCGAACTTAATCTTATTTTAATAGGTACGTTTTTACACAAGTTGAATTTAATGTTTTATTGATAGGTACTGTCCTGATTCTGAAGGGACTGAAGGTCGTCGTCGGTTGGAGTTGCTTGATGTCCACATCGGAGATGGAAGGACCTGTGAAGAAGTTCGCCACTCGTACTAGAGAAACGTTAGGAAGCAACTCCCACCGACAACCTCCTTTAAACCCGAACCAGGACAGCATCAATTCAGTAGAGTTACAAAACAAAGGATAGCGCAGGGTCGAGTCGCTTTTAACAAAAAGAAGTCACTTCTGCGATCTTAAAAGGTTAATTTAGAAAGTCAAGAACGGGGAAAAGGTTAGAAATTAGAAAGAGTAGAACAGAGGGTTCTATGAATGTCAATAAGAAATGGGCGAGACAGGTTGGTAGGACACTTTCTCAGACATGAAGGGTTAATTAGAGACATATTAGAAACTGAAACCAAAAGGGTTATTAGGAGTAGCGGTAGACCTACATTACTTTAGATTACTGTTCACAAATAGTTAAGGATGTGGGACATTCCAGCTTTAGGAAAATATAAAAAGATTAGCTCAGTATACAAAAGGGTGCATGGAAGTGCGTGTCGACTTAGTCTTAGGACTGAAGATGATGATGATAATTCATAAATTATATAGTAATTGTTATAACTACTAGATAATATCACTTATGACAACCCCCTCTTTATGTTTATAATATCTCATCGAAATCGGTTCAGCTATTTTGAAGATTAACCCATATAGAAAAACAGACAAATTATTTTAAGGGTCGTTTGTGTCATTATATAAATCGTGGAGTAAGTATTTTGCTAACCACGAGCGGTTTAGAAATATTTTTTATTTATATAAGCACCTGCCCCAATAAATTTTAAACGAAGAAATCTTCACTTATAGGAGCCTATCTAGGGTCTGATAAACTTCATCCAAAAAATAAATTTCAAAGGTAATGATTGTAGTGTATCGTATCGTATCGAAGTAAAAACTATTATTTTATGAATCACCTATGAAAATTCAATGCATTAAAAATATGTAGGTATGTCACATAATACAAAAAATAGTGATTATCTAGAATTGATGTTCTAACAAGCGAATATCATATTTTAACAAGAAAAAGGAAGGTATAATAATAGATAAATTGATGATACTTTATGTAAAATAAGAATTACTTTCTTGACATTGATCATTGTTTTATGTCCACGTTTTACTTATGTGTTTATTAGTCAGCAATTACTTTTGCATAAGTAAATTACAAGAAATTATTCATAGAATGAAAAATGCGGACAGTAGGTAATTGTTGATAATTTAATTAATTGATTCATTACTGTGGTGTACAACAAAAAGTCAATTATAAAATTCCAAAAAGGCGAATCACCATGAAGACTGTCACAAACTAATTTACTTTATAAATATTATCCGGAATTTACCACACGACAGATATATTCTGGATATTATGAATAAAATACTTCTACTTAAATAGTTTCTGCTTTTTAATAAAAAAAATTTGGTTGTATTAAAAGCAAGCGCCAGCGAGCAGCTTGGGGTGGGGTGCGCGATCTCATTACAATTCAAGATCAAAAAGCTCCAGCATCCCTACTAATCCGTCTGTAGCCGCGCACTGTGCGGGAGTATATGAACATGCTAGTGGGAGACACCTTCGTCTCACCTGATCTAGCAAGCCCGTGCGATCAGTGATCAGTGTCTGTCTGACGATCGGAATACAAGCATCGCCAAAAAGCTCAGACTAATAAGTAAGTAAAGCTCGTGCGCCGATATTCGCGTGTTTCACACTTTTTCCATCATGGACACTCTGCTTCAATATAACGCGGAATTATCTCAGAGACTTTCTTTACCTTTAGACAGCCCGAATTATACAGATTCGAACAATAACAGTGATAACGACAAATCGAATCGCGGTGATAAGTACTCGTTAAGACCTCGGTCGTCCAGAAGGAGAAACGTACCGGAAGAGATTATTCCTGAGAAAAGTTCAAAAACACGAACGCCGAAACCGAAACAAAAACCCGCTCCATTAAGCAAGTACAGGAGGAAAACGGCGAATGCACGGGAAAGGAGTCGGATGAAGGAGATCAACCAAGCGTTCGAAACGTTGCGGCAAGCCGTTCCCGAAGTGTACGCAACACATTTCGGATCTAATGAAAAATTAACTAAAATCACCACATTACGACTGGCAATGAAATACATATCGACTCTAAGTGCAGCGCTGATGACGAGTGATGGTAATACGAGCGTCGTAACGTCGCCCGATTTTTCGGATTGCAGTGATTTGGATTGCTTGCTGCTGGAATCGGACGGCGAATCATTACCGTTGAACTCCGATCTGTCCGATCATTCGCTGACTCCTGCGGATTTTTCAGTCGATTTTCCGGACGACTCCTTGTCCTCTGTTGACTTCGGGCACTTATCTCCCGGATTTTCGGAACATTTATCTTTCGACTGCTTCTTGACCGATATAAAGTAATTATTATAAATAATTTTGGAAGAGCGTACGCTTTTAGCTTTTAAGAGAACGTAAACGATTCCGTCCTGTGAAATTTCCTGAAATGTGCTATATTTTCTTTTAAGTAATCGACCAACACTTAGAAAATTTATTGTTGGTATTGTAAAATCGGGTTATAAATGAGTAAGTTCGATAGTTATGTACCGTACACATACGTAGTTCAAGTGTTTTTAAGAAGCGATCAGAGTCTGTAAGTCCGTACTGACTGTAAGTCTTACTATTACTATTATATCATAATGATAAGTTGTTTTTTATTGCCATTGCTATTTATAAATTTTTGTACAGTAAAATTTAAGAATATACGTTATTTTTACAGAAGTTCCATTGTTTATTTATTTATCTTACTAAATGCAAACATAAGCAAAGAATCTCCGAAATTTAAAATTACTCCTGCTTTTAAAATAAAAACAATTAAAGCAGCTACCTTTGCTTTAGTAAAATTAGGTCACTAGAACAATTCATGATCCTGAACTTCATAGTCATAACTCCCATGAAGGAGGGTTTGGATTTGGAAAATTCAATTAATAATAGTTTATAATACTAATAAACATTAGCAGCTGAATAATAATTAGTTTTTGTTTTTTCAACGAATGTATAGAGAACAGTGTTCACACCCGCACAGTGTTTATATTAACGTGCAGGGGGCCAAAGTGAAGGGCCGTATCGCATAGATCATGTCATACACCCAACCTTGCTGTTCGCTTTTGTAATTTCTCCCTATAAAACACAATGTCACACATACGACAACAAACACACAAATCTGTATCACCTTAAAAGACTGATGAATGTGACAGATCTGTATCTGTCTATTTTTTGTCTATTTGTCAACGCCCGCGACTAGGCCACATGCCATTACGTAAATACTTCTACGTATGTACCAATTATGTGAATGTGTAAATTTGAATTTTAGTCGCAAGGCGCGAACTTAATCTTATTTTAATAGGTACGTATTTTAGTCCCAAAAACAATAATTATATTGTGTAGAAAAGACGTTTTTTATGTTGTTTTTCTGATTTAAAAAAATATGTGTTTATAGGCAAAACAGTCGGCAAGTGGAGACTCAGCTTTGGGTATCGATTGTATGCAAACTGGCAATCCGAATATGCGTGAGCAGCACGTCATCGAGTCCTTAAGGTCGAAGAGGCAACAATTAATTTTGGCTACGCAACTTGTGAAAATGATTTTAAAAATAGATGATGTACGTTCACCTGCTGATGGACGCAACATGTAATGCTTTTTTGTTTAATTACAGCGAGAAAAGTTAATTAATCTCTATCACATCATTGTATTCTGAATTTTTCATGTAGTGATAATTTAACACCTGTTTTTTTTAATGTTCTCATATGTCTGTATTTATTAATAAATACAAAAACAACTATTCACAGTGCATTTATTTTAAAAAATACTTTATACTAAATAAAATAATGTCTTCATAAAAGTGCTTTTATAATATGAAAGGTAAGTAATTGCACATTAATAAACTATTCTTTTTTTATGTGAAATATATTTATAAATAAATGTTTAAACCTTCACTGACTGACGGACAGCGCACAGCCTAAACCAAAACAAATTTGAAATTTAAAGTAAATATTCCTTGAGTACAGTAGAGATTACAACTAAGGAAAGCTATTTTGAAATTCCTTCCCATATAAGGGTAAAAAGGGATGTTAAGGTAGTTGACTGACAGGGAATATTCGTTGAATACTTGAGGGGTGCATTAGGGAGGGATTTTTTGAAATTTCATCTCTAAGGACGTTAAAAGGAGTGTTAAAGTAACTGACTGACAGACAAGGTAGAGTATAATTTGGTGGATTTAGGAATAAAGATTTGAAGGATTCCCTTTTGAGTCTTTAGGGACATACTAAGGACATTTGTGAAATTTCTTCCCCTAAAGGCGTTAATAGGGTAGTTAAACTAGCTAACTGACAGGCAACG